GCTCCTAAACGCCCCCCCTTTTCCCTCCCCTCCCCTCCTCCCCTGCCTCCTGATTGGCCGAGTGGGCGGGCCTCCGTGCAGGGATTAGTCGGCTCGTCGTCTGTCTTGTAGGATCAGCTCGCTCGCTCTTTTCTTCAGTCTGAGCCTAGAGCCTAGAGCAGGAGGAGGAGGTGGTGGTGGAGGAGGATGTAGAGGAGGAGAGAAAGAGAGCGAGAGATACAGAGAGAGAGAGTGTGGATGAGAGAGAGAGAAAGAAAGAGGAGGAGGGAAACAGCTGAGAGACGAGTGGCAGCATGCAGCTTACAGAGATGGTGGAGGACGGTAAGAGACTCTTTCATGTGTTTCTCTTTGTGTTTTGTTTCTGCTTCTTTTCTCAGTCGCTCAGCTGACTTCTTCCTGCAACTGTCTCTTTGCATTTCGTCAAATTTCCTTTTATTTTCTTACAGTTCTTTTTGTTGGTCTATTCTGTTTTTTATTTCTGCCAAAAACTTTTGACAGTGTGCGTTAGTCTTTGTCGCTTTTGATGCTTTTGTACAACTTGCTGCAACAATGAATTCACAGGAAGTCTCCCTAAAGGCTGCTTCTCATCATTGTGCATAGATAGATTCTATATTTTCAGATTTCAGACCATCCTTAGGACAAAAAAATAGAATATTCAGAATTTTTATTTTGACTTTTTCTGACACTTCACAGACTAAATCGATAATTTGAGATGTCAGCAGCCCTGAAGTTAAAACAATCTGGATATGAAAACTAAATAAATGTAGCTGTCGAGTTTCTCCACTTGCGTGAAGTGTGTGTGCGCGTGTGTGTGCGATCACACAGCCGTGACGCTGACACACACCCCCACATGCTGCCCGATGCTGCACGCACACACCACCTGCAGCTCTGCACTGTGTCCAGATGTGAAGTTGTGGAAAAGAAACAGACTGAGAGCAGATGTGTGCAGAACACTTAATGCATGCCATGTGTACATTTCTGCAGTGTGTGCAGTTTATTTTTTATTTTTTGCACCGCACGTTTGTGTGTGTGTGTGTGTGTGTGTGTGTGCAAACTTTCTGCAGTTGAAGATCTTTGTTGAAGTCCAGGAATTAGACCGTGTCGCTGATCAGCTGTGTGTGTGCTCAAACGATCTTTGAGGCTCGTATCGATTCTTTGTGTGTTTGTCAAGTGTGAGTGTTTATTGTGTGTGTGTCAGTCCGTGCTGATAGTCATTGTTCAGGAGAGCTGTGGGCTTCTGCCTGCATGTGTGATGACAAGTGATATCGCTGTGTGTGTATGTGTGTGTATATGTGTGTGTATATGTGTGTGTGTGTGTGTATATATGTGTGTGTGTGTATATGTGTGTGTGTGTAGCTGAGCGCTGCTCCTTTGTCTGCTGAGGGGGGAGGGGGGGGAGAAGGGGAGGGAGGGAGGCTGCGCTGATGGTCCCCTTTGTTCAGCGTCCGCTCTTTCTCTCTCTCGCTGGCTGATATTTTACAGATTTAGAGCAGTGTCAAAGTGTAAAATGAATATTTGTGATCTGTTCTGACATTTCCCGATCGTGTCCTTTGGGGTCGGACTGTTGTCATCGCTGAATTTGACTCGTTTTCTTTTAAAAGAGCAGACTTATCACAAGTATCGATCCGTGTGTCGGGGGGGGGGTTGGCTTCGTAGATGCTGCAGGAGTCACTGACACGGTTTGATTTAATGCTTCTAGTTTCTACTGGACCTTTTGCAACAAAGGACTCTGTGTGTGTGTGTGTGTGTGTGTGTGTGAGCGCGCGTGTGTTGGTCATGTTCATTGTCCTGCAACAGGAGCTCGGAGGAAAACTCCTCTCCTCTGAACTCTGTCACTCATCAGCTGTTCATTCTTCATTGTTCGGATTTGCTGCTTTTTTTATTGTCATTGTAAATTTCATATTTCTTGTTTTCTTTTGAAGAGTTTCTTAAATGCATTTTCACTTAATGTGTGTCCTGTAGCTCCATGGTGACACACACACACACACACACACCTATTGTCCTTTTTAATGCTACTTTTCCATTGTGTTGTTCAGGATGTGCAGGTGCATCATGACAGCTCAGTAGTTTGGACTGATTCTTTGTTTATTGTTTTTTACTTATTCTTTAGCTTTCCTTCATTTTCTCTCAATATTGCAAAAGTTTTTATTTTTTAATTTCAAGTAATCTCTTCCCATCTTGAGTTGTGGCACGAGGAAATGTGTGTGTGCAAAAGAGAGAGAGAGAGAGAGAGAGAGTATAAAGTGCTGACGGAGGAGAACAGTGCAGCTGCACAATGACAGCTCCGGCTGCAGTCACAAACTGACGGCTGTGATGAGAAGGAGGGAGGAGAGAGAGTGAGCGAGGGAGGGAGGGAGGGAGATAAAGATTGAGGGAGGAAAACAAGGGGAGAACAAAGGGAGGAGGGTGAGGAAGAGGAGCTGTCACTGTGTAAACACACACACATCTAAAACTGAAACTCATCAGCTGTGTTTGTGTTTTTAGGGAAATGAGAAATCTTTCCGACAGTCGACGAGTTCTTCTCTGCACGTGTTTACAGCTTCTGTTGTTGCACGTTCAGATTGTGTTTTTCACCAACGCACCACGTCCTCACAAACATGATGACATGATGACAAAGAGGAGTCACAGGGAAAGTTTCAAGTTGAGTTTATTTTGTGCAGAAACCTTAACATTTTTTTTGAAGAAACTTAATTATTGGCTTTAGAAATCTGTGTTACTCTTGAGTATTGCATTTCTTTGACGTCAGTGGACTGGAGCACATGACTCTGAAGGTGCAGAGGACTAACGTTTGGATGAGTCTCCTTTGACTCTGAGGAAGAAGAAATGTGAGGAGAAACTTACTTTAAGTGCTTCCTGTTCTTCTTCTCTTTGTTTGGATTCTCCCCGTGAGAAGGCGTGCATTGAAATGTTTCTGATGTCTGAGGAGGTCGATCTCTGAGAGCGACAGCCTCCTTCAGCACTATGGTTTCCTTCTACTTTGAGAGTGGTACTTTTAAACGATGATGAAAAGAATACAAACTCATGATAGATATTAAATGAGCAGATCGTCACAGCCCAGCAGAATCACAAATCTCACCTTCTCAGTGAGCTTTAGGCCCCCTAGTGGCTGCAGGGCCACGAGCATCCTCATGGTTAGATGTCCCCTCAGTTAAACAGTGCAACTGTTTTTTTTTTTTCTGTAGGTATTCATACTATTCATACATAGTCATATTCAAGCTTCGTCTACTGCCCCCTAGTGGCGGTAAAATATATAAATAACAGCTTTAACTGTACATGTTAGTAAAGAAACAGTTTTATAAAGAAGGAGAACATCTGGTGGATTTGTGACAGTGACTCTCTGGAGCACTGAAGCCCTGAATAAAAGAGTCACGCTAATGTTTGACTGACCATGGTACTTCTGTCCCGGTGCATTGTGGGAGTTCCCCTGTCCCTCTTTGTCATCCGTACGTGTGTTTTAGGGTGAGGCCAGAATGCTCCTGGACGCTCCCAGCTGCTCATACATGAAAGAAAAAGCGTCTCCGGTGGCATTTCAGGGGACTTTCATTTGCAGTGTACTTTCCCTTTTAAAATGACGGCTTCCACATCAAATCTGTGTGTGTGTGTGTGTGTGTGTGTGACTTCTGTGTGTGTGTGTGTGAGAGAGAGTGTGTAACTGATTTATGATGTAGGAGCTCTGCAGTAATTATACTGCTGTTCTGTAAACTGGTCCAGATGTGTCTGGAGACTTGTAAACCTTGGTCTGCTTCGATGTGTGTGTGTGTGTGTGTGTGTGTGTGTGTGTGTGCTGTTTTGCACAGACAACAATAGAAGAAAACAGCAGAGCTTCTGCCTGTAAGCCTAACTCTTAATAAAGTGTCTCGAGACGTACAAAAAAAACAAAAGATTAGACGCTGTTCTCTCGCTGTTTGTTGTTAGAAAGTTTTCTGAGTGCCTTCAGCAACGACATCATCTGCTCCGCTTCTCATCACACGTCGAGGAATAGGTGCTCCTAAGAATCCCTGTTAACATTCAACGATGGAAGCTGAACTTTTAAAATATTCAACAACGTCTAAAAACATAAAGCAGCACAAGAACTCTGAGTGTAAAACATTCAAAAATACAGATTTTAGTCAGAACGTGTGTTACTGTTTTTTGGGTGCTTCAGTCAGTAAAGTAACCCAGAGCAGAACCAGAGGCTTAAAGTCGTGTTCCTGAAAACTTTCTAACATTTTTTACCGCATATAAAAAAAAGATTGGTAAGAACGAGAAGTTTGTCTTTGGCAGCTCAGGGGAGGATGAGTTCAAAGACATGAGAAAAAGTATGAAAACAAGAGCGCTGTCAGGAATAACAAACTTCCACATCCCTCTTCAGGACGGTCTTTCTCCTACAGGCGGAGAAAACTTTCTCTCTGTGTTTGTGTGTCTGTGTAAAAAAAAAAAAAAGCAGTTTTGAAGTAATACTATGGTCAAAGACATCCCAAGTAAACTGGGTATTACTTGTTTACATTTTTAAAATGACCTGAAAGACAATAGTCCCCACTATTGCAGTATAGACACATAGTCCCCTCCATGTAAGGTGTGTGTGTGTGTGTGTGTGTGTGTGTGTGTGTGTGTGTGTGTGTGTGTGTGTGTGTGTGTGTGTGTGTGTGTGTGTGTGTGTGTGGGGGGGCTCACAGACTAATTACTGAGATGATGTATGGCCTGTGTTTGTCATGCTACTGTTTGCCTGTGTGATTAATAACAATACGGTCACCCACTGCACGGCGGCTGTGTTTGTGTGGAGATATAGATGCAGTGTCCTCGTGCTGATTTGCATAAAGAGTACGTGTGCATGTTTGGAATTAATGTTTTTTGAAAACAAATGTTTCCATCAGTCGTTGAGTTTAAACTCATCGTGTTGTGAAAAGGATTTCCCCGCTCTTCATCTGCAGCCTTGAAAGTGTCGTAGAGCTGAAATGTATTCATTTGTTCATAAACAACATTTTTTAAACAGTTGTTTTCTCTCTGTTCTTTTTTTTTAGCTCTTCCTCCAAAGCCAGCGAAGCCCCAGCAGCCCTCGTCAGTCGGGACTGGAGGGGGCAGCAGCAACGGAGTGAAAGATGGAGGAGCGGGAGGTTCACTGCAGGAGGCCGAGTGGTACTGGGGCGACATATCCAGGTAACAAACGCATGTCAATCAAAGAATGGTTATTTACATTTGAAACCCCGCCCATTTTTTTTTCTTAATCACCTTGTGCGTACGTTTTGTAAATTCTCCATAGACTGCTTCAGCCTGCAGCCATGAAACCGGCTTAAGGGCTGAAAACCAAACTATTCATGATCTATTAATGAGCTAATTTGAGACTTAAAAACCATGCTGCTTTCATCTCTTCTTTGCCACCAGACTCCATTGATAAAAACAGATATTTGAACTTGCAGGACGCATCACTTTCTGGTCGTCTTCTTCGGATATCAGGTCACTTTTTGTGTGTTTTTGTGTGTTAGGTGACTAATGATTTGGACCCAAAATAACCCTTCACACCTCTTTAATCACAAAAAACACAGAAAAACTAAAAGGTAGAAAACCTGCAAATCTCATGGATCCGTTTTTTAAATGTCTGTTTTTATCGATGGAGTCTGGCAGCTTTGAAGAGATGGAAGTCTTCTGGTTGAAAAAGTTTACCTTAAGGTTTACGTCGCAGCTGTTTTCAGCCTTTAACCAGACGAGTCGACACAATAAAGTTTTTGTTCTTGCATCGTCCTCATATCTCTCATTTTTGTCAAATCTGTACTTTCTGTGTGTAAATCTGAAGAAGGTGATGATGTTGACACTGCCTCACCTACCTGCATGTTAGCTCTCAGTCCACACACAGACAGACAATAACCACACCTACTGTGCAGACAGCCAGTCTACCACCTTCAACACACACACACCCACACACACACACACACACACACACACACACACACACACACAGCTGATATGGGCTCAGACCCGTCCATCCAGTTGGTTTATTATCAGAGGCAGAGTAATAAAATGACTCTGTTGCTCAGCTTGCTCTTTTCTGCTCGTCTCTCTTCAGGGAGGAGGTGAACGATAAGCTCAGAGACATGCCCGACGGGACCTTCCTGGTTCGGGACGCTTCCACCAAGATGCAGGGCGACTACACGCTCACACTGAGGTACAATCTATAAAATGTTTCAGTTTGAATCAGAGAGCCCGGCGGGGTGTAGCGTGTTTAAAAACCACAGCGGGGGAGGGGGGTGCAAGATTACTCCTCCTGCTCCACTTTAACGCAGCCGTGCCTCCAGTTAACTTCAGATGGAGGGGGAATCATGTGTTGAGGGGCGTTTTGCCTACGCAGCATCCCGCTAAATTGGAGCAAATCGCCCACTGCCCTGGAAATAAAACGCTTGAAGGGGAACGGGAGCCCAGAATAGAAGCTGATAAAATGTGAATACTAAGAAGTCACTGTAGAAGTTTGAATGTGGTGCAGATTGAGTGCTGATCCTCTTTTTTTTTTTCTTCTGTTGATTTTCAGGAAAGGGGGCAACAACAAGCTGATAAAGATTTACCATCGGGACGGGAAGTACGGATTCTCGGACCCGCTGACGTTCGGCTCAGTGGTGGAGCTCATCAGCCACTACAGACACGAGTCTCTGGCTCAGTACAACACCAAGCTGGACGTCAAACTCATGTACCCCATCTCCCGCTTCCAACAGGTACACAAAACATTTAGACAAGACACACCCTCTCTGATTGTTGAGACTTTTATTTTGAAGGGCAAAAAGGCTCATTTTAAATCCAGGCAGGACAGGAAGCAGATTGTTATAGACAACTAAGGATTTTTAAAACATGTGAGCAGATTTAAAAAGTGAACAGAATCATTCAGGCGTCTGAATTAAACTCTAAATATCCGGAGGGATACGTGGACATCCCCCTCTGCTTTTAGTCCGGGGACTTTCCTTCCGTGGTTTGGGGCGTGGCCTCCTGGTTTAAAAGTCTTAACACAGCGCTTTCCCAAACTTTGAGGGTGCAAAGAAAAGACAAACCCGAGGGGTCAACAAACCACAAAAGGGTTTTTCAATCTGTGGGCTCAACGCTGAAAAATGTAACCGTGCCCTTTCAAAATAAAGCGTCCTACTTGGCTACTTAAATAAAAAGTAGTCTGCTGTGTTAAAAAAAGCTGCACGTTATTACATCTGAGGAACTAGAAGGAGCAAATGTTTGACATTTCTGCTTAAAGAAATCAAAACTATGCATGCACTTTCAAAATATTTGGAGAAAGCTTTTCTTTCTGCGGTGAAGAATTTAAAAAAGATGTTGAACTCTTCTCTCTACAAACGGAGAGATGCATCACTTCAGTCTATTCTGAAAACTTCACTTCATGCTTCAGACGACCGTAATCTCTTCTGCTGTTTGAACATCTCAGGTCATTCAGTGAATCAAATGAGACAACAACCAAAGTAGGAGAAAGAATTACAAAATAAAAGTCCCAAGTTTGCAAAGCAGCTCAGGATCAAACTCCCTCTTCCTAATCGTTCTTTTGGTCGACCCTACTCGCCGCCTAGTTTCCTCTTTAACCCCCGTCCTGGTGGCTCACTCTGAAGTGTTTCCACTCCCAAACTGCAGCACCAGCAAGATCCCCGACCTGCTGAAATATTGCACACATCTGCGGGCCCCGCTGTTGCATTTATTCCCTCGTCCCCTCCGCTCGCTTTTTTTTGTTGCCGGGGCGAGTCATTACTCGGAGCTAAGCAATACATCCAAAGCAGGTACACCTTGCCCTGCAAACCGGGGCATTGTGGGTGGTTTATTAATGAGCCTGTTCAGGAGTTCCCCCCCCCCCCCCTTAGTAAGCAGAATCCGGGGTGAAGGGAGCAAACATGCAAAATGCTCTTCTGCCTCCGTCCTTGATTACTGTTCTTTCTCCTACATCCTGCAGCCTTTTTCCTCCCCTCCCCCTCCCCTCCCCCGCCCTAAGCTGTCTTCACACTCTCTCTAATGCGTTGAATGTCTCCTCAGGACCAGCTTGTAAAGGAGGACAACATCGATGCTGTGGGGAAGAAGCTGCAGGAATACCACAATCAGTACCAGGAGAAGAGCAAAGAGTATGACCGACTGTATGAGGAGTACACCAAGACGTCTCAGGTACGTCAAGATTTCCACTTCCTTACTGCGGTGGTTATGGTTTTAAAAAGAGAAAATGAACATTTCTCGCCCCCATCCGCTAAACTCCTTTCTCCCCCCCCCCCCGTCCCCGTCCCTCAGGAGATCCAGATGAAGCGGACGGCCATCGAAGCCTTCAACGAGACCATCAAGATCTTCGAGGAGCAGTGCCACACGCAGGAGCGCTACAGCAAGGACTACATCGAGCGCTTCCGGCGCGAGGGCAACGACAAGGAGATCGAGCGCATCATGATGAACTACGAGAAGCTCAAGTCTCGGCTCGGAGAGATCCACGACAGCAAGGTGCGGCTGGAGCAGGACCTGAAGACGCAAGCCATGGACAACCGCGAGACGGACAAGAAGATGAACAGCCTGAAGCCTGACCTCATACAGCTGCGCAAGATCAGGGACCAGTACCTAGTGTGAGTACTCCAGGACTTGTGGGGACGCGGAGTGGGAGGAGTCTGAGAACACAGATCGCTAACAAGACAGAAATGCATTAATCAGACATGGTGGAAGCTGTCTCTCTGATGAACTCTGTGACCCGGGGCGTTAAATTAGATACGAGGAAACATGTTTAACTAATAACTGAACCGCTGCCTTTCCCAGAGATGAAGAAGATTCATTTAAAGACATTCAAACTGCAAAAGTTAAAGAAAAAACGTCTTTATAACAAACCATGATGAATTGTCTGATGGTCATTTCTGTCTTCCCTCTTAAAACTCTCAAATAATCTTCAAAATTTTAACAAAATCCAACTAATTCAGGTTTTCCTTCAGTTTAAACTTGAAGCCAATTGTTTCAAATTTCAGCTCTTTAAGATTTCTTCATATCTGGTTAAAAAAAAAAAAAAGAGTTCTGCAGCACTGATGGTGATGGAAGATATATATCGGTGTAGCTAAGACACAAACAAGAGTCAAAGAAAGTTGAATTCAATCCTAAAATATTCTTTTCAAGTCTCAGAAGTGACTGTGGATTCATGTTCAGTTTCCTTATTTCAGGATCAAACCGCAGGTCTCTCCTGACGAGCGGCAGCACTTTCAGAATTTCCCAGAGCCGAAAGTGAAAATAGCACAAAACTTAAAAACCTTCTCATTATCTTGTGACTAGTCATGTTCTTCTCGGGATTCCCCCCCACCACCACCACCACCCCCATCACTCTGACTGTCACGCTGCTCCATTAGAAACTTGTGTTTCCTCTTCCTCCTGACCCTTCAGACGTTTGTCACTTAATTTGATTTCTGCTGTGAATGAAAGGAGTCTTTTTTTTTTTTTTAAGTGATTCCTGGTTGTTACTAACGGTCTCTCTGTCTTTTCCTCTTTCTCTGTAGCTGGCTCAATCACAAAGGAGTTCGACAGAAACGAATTAACGACTGGCTGGGAATCAAGAACGAGAACACTGACGAGTGAGTTCTGACTCCTGAGAGGGGTTTTGTTTTTCTTCTTGTGGTTAAAGATTAAGAAAATGGGGTCACACATCTGTGACCAGCATTGTGTAACTGTGTGTGTGTGTGTGTGTGTGTGTGTGTGTGTGTGTGTGTGCAGAGGCTACTTTGTCACAGAGGAGGACGAGAACTTGCCTCACTACGACGAGAAGAGCTGGTTCGTCGGCGACCTGAACAGGACGCAGTCGGAGGAGCTGCTCATCGGGAAGCCGGACGGAGCGTTCCTCATCAGAGAGAGCAGCAAAAAGGGCTGCTACGCCTGCTCTGTAGTGTGAGTACCAACACCACCCCATCTCAGTCCAGTCCGTCTGATTATCAAACCCAGTTCCCCTTTTTTCTTTTGGGGTGTATTTTTTGGGATGTTATTTGTCGGCTCCTTTATTTATTTTATTTTCCTCATCCCTCCCCTTGTTTCTTATAGTTGTTTTCAAAATCCATATGATGTTATAATGCTGATCCAAACACAGACTGTATAAAACATGGACGTAGCCTCAGTGACATCACCTGCTGGTTTCTAAAAAAGCCTTTTTAAGCGATTTTTTTTTAAAGATTTATTTTTGGGCTTTTTGTGCCTTTAATGTAGAGATAGGATAGTGGATAGAGATGTAAATCAGAGAGAGAGAGAGAGAGAGAGAGAGAGGGGAATGACATGTGGGAAAGGAGCCACAGGTGGGATTTGAACCTGGGCCGCCCGCTTGGAGGACCACAGCCTCCATACATGGGACGCAATCACTAACCACTGCGCCCCCAAAAACCAGTTCCACTTTTGAAGGAGTCACAATCTTAAGTGTAAAACATGTAGACGTGTAAAATAAATGACAGGACGGACGCAGTTGTTTCTGAGCAGTTTGTGAATGTTTCTCCTCCTCTGTGTGTCCTCAGTGTCGAAGGCGAGGTG